GCCTTAGCTGCTGGAACATCCATCCTACCATCATCAACAGACTATTCAGTGGATTCTGATAGTAAAAATCCAGATATAGATGATAAATTAGCACCATTTGAATATGCTCATCTTGGGTCATTAGTGTATATAGGAAATGCAGCAGTAGCTGATTTTGGATTTGGATGGACATGGATGGGGGGTTGGAGTGCTGTTTATTTGTGGAGAAGTATATATTTGAGTGAGCAAGTTAGTTTAAGGACTAGGGCACTTTTGGCTTTTGATTGGACAAAGGTAAGAAAATATTATAATTCAAGTGGAAAATGCTATCTAAATAGTGATTTTGTGTCATTGAATATACATTAATATCTTGGCTAATTGATTTCTCGACAGAGAGCACTTTTTGGAAGAGATATTTCAAAGTTTTAAACGATTTCATACATCGATTTTATCCATAATGGTTTATAGTAAGCGTTTTCAAGCATTAAAAAATTGCCTTTATTAAAATTATTATTGTTTTTAATCTTCGACTTATCATAGTGTATTTTATATATGAAAATTTCTTAATCCACACATAGCATATGCGCATAGATACAATGCCATACCAAAAAGTCATTGTGATTTTTTTTGATTTCGAATACAATTTTTTTAAGATTTAATATGAGTTATTAAATTTTTTTCATATATCAAAGTGAATATAACTAAAGATTAATTACTTTATTAAGAAACTATATAAATTTATACATTATACAGTTAACTCCGCAATAGTCACATTCTTCGAATCATTTACGATTATTATATATATCCCTTAAATTGTAATGCAAGCAAATTTGTTTGCATTTATTTTTTTAGGCTCTAATTTTTTAATAAAATCTTAAATATTAATTTTAGCAATATACTTTCTAAGCAGAATATATTTTTAAGATCTACTTTATCAACCTTGTTAAGGAAATTTTTTAAAATTATTAAAAAACTTAATTAATTAAAGTTCAAAGTTTGTATAATATTAGAGTTTACTATTAAAATTTTTTTAAGTTTTCTAAAATTTTATGTTTTTGAAGTTAAAAAATTTTTGCTCTTAAGTATTAATTTTTACAAGTAAATTACAAAATATATAATAATTAAAAGAGAGAATTTATACATCATATAGGTGATATTGTCACACTAATGCAGATCATAAAATCAGATGTAATGTAATATTTTTATATAGTTAGAGTTAGGGACAGATAAGGTTAGAGTTGAGACAAAGATCAAGTTTTATAGAAAAATTTTGCAAGAAATTTTTTTATTAGAACATGAAAGGTGGTTTCATAAGTAGACTAGTTGTGTTATAAAAATATCCAGATTATATGATCATTGATCATTTCTGACCAGGGATACAGAAAAATTGTTTTGATTATTTGCAAAAATTTATTTTGAAAATCACAAATATTTGGATAATTTTGGATAATTTTTTAGTCAATATTAATTTTATAATTTGGTCAAATTATCACAAAAATTAATTTTTTGCTATCAAATTTATCTTTTCAAAAATCTGTTTTTCATTATACTGATATAAATTAACTGCCCAGGTAATCTACTTATATACTTTAAAGTATATATATACTTTTTAAAAATATAACAAAAAAATCGAATAGTCTCTAAAGAAATATTTATATTTATTGTCAAAAGACAATTTAAAATAATCTACTACTCAACTTAGAAGGCTATTTATTACAAGCTATATTGATTATGTATAAGTTTTAAATCTAGCTAACAAGAAAAAATATTGAAATCTTATATATAAAGTTTAAACTTGAAAAACCTAATGTATACTATTTAACATATAGAGTCTGTGTGATCTTACAGAACTATATAAATTTTATGAATAAAAATTAAAATTTTTTGCTATCTAGTAATTCAATTTGAATAAACTTTTTTTTATTTTATAGAGCCTACTAAGCTTTACAAAATAAAAAAAAGTTTATTTAAATTAGATTACTAGATAGTAAAAATTTTTAATTTTTATTCATAAAATTTACATAGTTTTGTAAGGTTATTTTTAAGGCACAAACCCATATTATTCTAAATAACAATAAGCTTATGCTTATATCTAACATATTGCTTAGACCAATATTACCGACCCATTTTTCAAATTTCCTTATTTGGATGATCTACATAAATTAACCAATCAAATTTGGGGATCTACATAAACTAACCAATCAAATCGTAAAATTT